AAAAAAAAAAAAAAGTCCACAAGATATATATTGAAAGAGTTCTCTTCCAGTCTTGACTCTGGTCACTCAATTCTGCTGTCCAGAGACAACCAATGTTAAAATTTTCTTATGTCTCCTCCAGAGACATTCAGTGCATATCTCTTTTTCCTTATTCACATGGTAGCACACAGTGTACTATGTACATGCTATATGGTGCAATTTACCATGCCCACTTACTATCTTGAGGATCAGATATTAGTTCATAATAATGCATAATACTGCATTTATGGATATAAGATCATTAATCAGTTTCATCTTCACAAACCTTTATTTTTAAATTTTATTTTATATTTTGAGATGGAGTCTTGCTGTGTCCCCCAGGCTGGAGTGCAGTGGTGCAATCTTGACTCACTGCAATCTCCATCTCCCAGTTCAAATGATTCTCTGGCCTCAGCCTCCCGAGTAGCTGGGATTATAGGCACCTGCCACCATACCGGGCTAATTTTTGTATTTTTTTTAGTAGAGACAGGGTTTTACCATGTTGGTCAGGCTGGTCTGGAACTCCTGACCTCAAGTGATCTGCCCACCTCGGCCTCACAAAGTGCTGGGATTACAGGTGTGAGCCACTACTTCCGGTCTTAACAAACCTTTATGTTATTCCTTTTTTTTGGAGATGGAGTCTCTCACTCTGTCGCCCAGGCTGGAGGGCAGTGGCATGATTGTGGCTCACTGCAACCTCCATCTCCAGGGTTCAGATAATTCTCCTATCTCAGTCTCCCAAGTAACTGGGACTATAGGCGCACGCTACCACACCTGGCTAATTTAATTTATTAAAAAATTTTTAGTAGAGACGGGGTTTCACCATGTTGCCCAGGCTGGTCTTGAACTCTTAAGCTCAGGCAATCTGCCTGCCTTGGCCTCCCAAAATGCTAGGATTACAGGCATGAGCTACCACATTTGGCCCAAACCTTTACATTATTTCTAATATTTGGTTATAAAACGAGAGCTGTGATGACTAATGTTGACATACATCATTTTGCACTTGTGCGGTGTGTTTGCTGAATACCTTCCTAGAGGTGGAATTGCAGGGTCACATTGTGGCTTTGTTAGATACTGCTATGTGACTGGCCCTTTACTTGTTTACACTCTCATCAGCAATATCATAACATTTACATTGCAGTTCCAGTGAACTGTTTGGGCAAGGGCTCAGGTATTTGGCCAAGGTCATGCGGTAACTGACTTGCTCAAGGTCACAAAGCTGTGAGAGGTAGGACTCCATCTACCTGTCCATCAACAGTACTCACACAGCTCTGCTCCCCATTAGGTATGACAATCGGTGCCGGAACCTGAACCAGGAGCAGGTGGCCCAGAAGCTGGCCAAGGTCCCCAAGCCTTCGATCCGCTTCCGCCTGGAGGAGGCAGCGCCGGCCTTCCAGGACCTGGTGTATGGCTGGAATAGGCATGACGTGGCCAGCGTGGAGGGAGACCCAGTCATCATGAAAAGTGACGGCTTCCCCACATACCACCTGGCCTGCGTGGTGGATGACCACCACATGGGCATCAGCCACGTGCTGCGGGGCTCTGAGTGGCTCGTCTCCACTGCCAAGCACCTGCTCCTCTACCAGGCCCTGGGCTGGCAGCCGCCCCACTTCGCCCACCTCCCCCTGCTCCTCAACAGGGATGGCAGCAAGCTCTCCAAGAGGCAAGGGGACGTTTTCCTGGAGCACTTCGCTGCTGATGGCTTCCTGCCTGATTCCTTGGTGGACATCATCACCAACTGTGGCTCAGGTTTTGCAGGTACCTGCCCACCTGAGCAGTCCCAGCAGCAGAGAGCATGGCCAGGAGGAGCGGGGGTTTGGCTCAGATAGGCCTGCTCTTTGGTTCCCAGCTGCTTTGCCACCTACCAGCCAGGTGACCTTGGACAAGTTCATTCTTTTATTCAACAAACGTTTATTGTGCCAGACGCTGCATTAAGTGCTGGGGCTACAATAGTGAGCAAGATAGACATGATCCCTGTCCTCAAGGGGCTTACAGTCTCTGAGCCTCAGTTGCCTATCTGCAAAATGCGGATAAGTGTCTATCTCATTGGATTAGGATTCACTGAGCTCAGGAGTGTAAGGTACCCAGCCCAGCAGCTGTCACACAATAAGCACAAAAAATGACAGACCCTATGATTATAACAGTTACATTATTACTGCTATTACAAGCATGTATGCTAATAGTATGACCAGTATTCATATGGATCTAGTTTCTTTTTTTCCTTTTTCCTTTTACTGCCAGATGAGTCTAGTTTATTTCAAGCTGAGCACTTATCCATGGTCCAAGGCTTAGACCCAAATCTTGAAGAAGCAAGCATCAAATAGGATGACCCCCTTTGTGGCAAGGATTTTTGAAAATGTGTCCAAATTAGTCTGCCCGCCAGTCTCATTTCATTTAACACAACATACTATTAAGGGGTAGATACATCCACTGTTTGTAAGAGGATTGCGAGGCTCAGAGAAGCTGAGTAACTTGCCACAGTCACACACCTAGTGAGAGAGAATGGCATTTTAGGCCTATGCCTGATCATGATGCCTGCTACCCTGTGGGACTGAGCTGCTGCTCACAAGAAGCAGCTCCCAGCACCATGGTTCTTAACTGTTGACTGTGCTTTGGAATCAACTAGGAAGCTTGTAAAATACGCCCAGACCCCAACCAAAACCAGTCGACTCAGAGTCTCCGGTACAGCCAGGCTGTGGGTGTACTGTTCCACAGCTCATGTCTTGAGAGTAATGGGGATGGGTTTAGCTTGATTGTTTTCAGACTTTTTTTTTCTTTAACAACAGAACTCTTTCTGAAAATTAAGAGCTCATTCAGCCTCTTGATATATACATAGCTAGAAGTTAAATCCGTTTATTCAAGTGGAATGTGGGGCCCAGGGCTTGCTAACCCAGCCTCCCTTGTGTTTGAAACTAGAAGGAGGGCAGGTGCAGTGGCCCATGCCTTAAGCCCAGCACTTTGGGAGGCCAATGTGGAAGAATCATTTGAGCCTGGAGTTTGAGACTAGCCTGGGCAATATAGCGAAACTCCATCCCTTCAGAAAAAATTATTTATTTATTTATTTATGAGCCAGAGCCTCACTCTCACCCAGCCTGGGATGCAGTTGTGTGATCTTAGCTCACTGCAACCTCCACCTCTCAGGTTCAAGTGATTCTTCTGCTCAGCCTCCAGAGTAGCTGGGATTACAGGTGTGCACCACCATGCCTGGCTAATTTTTGTGTTTTTAGTAGAGACGGGGTTTCACCATGTTGGCCAAGCTGGTCTGGAACTCCTGACCTTGTGATCTGCCCACGTTGGCCTCCCAAAATGCTGGGATTACAGGTGTGAGCCACCATGCCTGGCCCTACAGAAAAATTTAAAAATTAGCTGGGTGAGGCAGGCTGGAGGATCACTTGAGCCCGGGAGTTGGAGGTTACTGTGAGCTATAATTGTACCACTGCACTCCCATCTGGGCAAGAGAGCAAGACCATGTCTCTTAAAAAAAGAGATAAAGTGGAAGGAGGAAGAGAGGAAGGAACCTGAGTGGCTGGGCCTCTCTTCTTTACAGGGAACCAGATGGGCAGGACTCTGCCAGAGCTGATCACACAGTTCGACCTGACCCAGATCACCTGCCACTCAGCCCTGCTGGACCTGGAGAAGCTCCCAGAATTCAACAGGTGAGTGGGGAGTGTGGCGAATCCCCTGGTGGGAAAGGACTTTCTTGCTCTTGACGGTCCCTACAGCAGAGGGGATAACAGGCTCTGGTACCTAATTCTGTGTGACCATGGCTAAATCACCTAACCTCTTTGAGCCTCTGTTTCCTCTTCTCTAAAATGGGATTAATAACATAATCCCATTTTATATATATAACAATCATATAAGATTGTTGCATGAAGGAATCTCGTATAGCCCTGGCACATAGAAAGTGCTCACTAAATGGTACGTATGTTTTTATCATGAGCGTTGTGTTCCTGGCCACCCCTTGTCTGGACTCTGTTACCAACCAAAGCCTGGAGAGGGGTATCTTCATTTTAGACTCACCTACCCCACTCAGCCTCACACCCAGCCAACACAGTGAGTGAGCACTGTCTCGTGGCATCCAGTTTATATTTCATGTATTTGATATTGCAAGTAGCTCTTCACTTTGGAACCTCCAAATATCATTCCAACTCAGATCACTGTTGACGTGTCTGAGTCAAAGGGTATTAGTTGACCAGGCATGGTGGCTCCCACCTTTAATTCCAGCACTTTGGAAGGCCAAGGCAGGCAGATCACTTGAGGCCAGGAGTTTGAGACCAGCCTGGCCAACATGATGAAACCCCATCTCTACTAAAAATACAAAAATTAGCTGGGCATGGTACATGCTTGTAGTCCCAGCTACTTGGGAGGCTGAGGCAGGAGGATTACTTGAACCTGGGAGGCAGAGGTGCAGTGAGACAGGATCACACCACTGCACTCCACCTGTGCAACAGAATGAAACTCTGTTTTTAAAAAAGACAAAAAGTTATGCCGGGTGTGGTGGCTCACTCCTGTAATCCCAGCACTTTGGGAGACCGAGGCGGGCAGATCATGAGGTCAGGAGATGGAGACCATCCTGGCTAACATGGTGAAACCCCGTCTCTACTAAAAATATAAAAAATTACCTGGGTGTGGTGGCATGCACCTGTAATCCCAGCTACTTGGAAGCTGAGGCAGGAGAGTCGCTTGAACCCAGAAGGCAGAGGTTGCAGCGTGCCAAGATCATGCCACTGCACTCTAGCCTGGGTCACACAGCGAGACTCCGTCTCACAAAGAATATATGTAGTTTGTACTTTTATCATTTTATGTTTCTTTTTGAGATTGGATCTTGCTCTGTCACTCAGGCTGGAGTGCAGTGAAGAGATCATGGCTCACTGCAGCCTTGAATTCCTGGACTCAGACGATCCTCCTGCTTCCCCTTTTCAAGTAGTTGGGACTACAGGTGTGCACGTATGTTTGCATTAGCCAAATGCCTGGCTAATTTTTTATAGAAACTGAATCTCACCATGTTACCCAGGCAGGTCTCGAACTCCTGGCTTCAAGCAGTTCTCCTGCTTCAGCCTCCCAAAGTGCTGGGATTATAGGCATGAGTCACTGTGCCTAGCCTTTTGTCTTCCTTATTATAGAGAAAGTGATATCTCAGGGAGAAATGGAGCCAGGTCAGGAGAGAGAATTTGTGATTCATTCAAGTCCTCCTTGAAGCGTAAACAGTAGTCACAAGGAAGATGAAGGTGGACTTTTGCTTAATGTGAGTCAGGGAAGGGTTGGGAAGTTAGGATTAATGCCTGTAGGTTTAATGCAGCCAAAACTGCTGTTATTTTTAGACTTTTTTTTTTTTGCGACAGTCTTCTCTCTGTCACCCGGGCTGGAGTGTAGTGGTGCGATCTCAGCTCACTGCAACCTCCACCTCCCAGGTTCAAGCGATTCTTGTGCCTCAGCCTCCCAAGTAGCTGGGATTATAGGTATGTGTCACCACACCCAGCTAATTTTTGTAATTTTAGTAGAAATGGGGTTTCACCACGTTGGCCAGGCTGGTATAGAACTCCTGACCTCAGGTGATCCACCTGCCTCAGCCTCCCACAATGCTGGTATTACAGACGTGAGCCACTGCACCCAGCCCCTGTATGTGTTATCTATCACAAGCATGGTCATGAGGGCCACTTGATTTTTTTCCTTCAGCTGTCTCATCTAGCTATTTAGGAGGTTCTAGACAAGTTTTTCTTAGTACCTTTAAAAATATATATTATTACATTTTTTGGCCAATCTGCGTTGCAAATAACTTTCCTAAGCGTGTCATTTGTCTACCCTCTGACATGCCAGTGCCTCTTTTCACACCCCCAGCTCCGAGATGAGGTTGTAGTACAGGTCTTGCTGTCAGTGTATTCCATGAAGGCCCTCAGTTAATCTCCACGACCGTCCTGTGCAGGAGTCCCTCTTGTTATCCCTACTGGATGAGGATCCTGAGCCTCCAAGTGGTTTTATGACCTGCTGCAAGCACCTGGTAGGGCGGTCTTCACACACAGACCTGTCCGATTTCAGAGCCCATGAGATGCTTACCCATGCCTTACCCTGTCTGCCCTTCTTCCATGCCATAGACAAGGAGCTAAGCATCTCAGCATGGTGCTCTGCCCTGGGTAGCTCTTGTCTCTCCGGTCTCTCTAATTCTGCCCAGGAGAGGGGAGGGCAGCATAGAGGGCTGAGGATGACAGGGGGTGGTTTGAGGGTTGGAGTTATAGAGGCTTTCCTGCTTCCAAAGGAGGGAATATGGTAATTAGAAGAATTCTGGAGGCCAGGCACAATGGCTCACACCTGCAATCCCAGCACTTCGGGAGGCTGAGGTGGGCTAATCTCTTGAGGTCAGGAATTCTAGACCAGCCTGGCCAATATGGTGAAACCTTGTCTCTACTAAAAATATAAAAATCAGCCAGGTGTGGGGATGCACAGCTATAATCCCAGCTACTCTGGAGGCTGAGGCAGGAGGATCGCTTGGACAAGGGAGATAGAGGTTGCAGTGAGCTGAGATCGTACCACTGCACTCAAGCCTGGGCAACAGAGTGAGACTGTCCAAAAAAAGTAAAAAACTAAAAAATTTTAAAAAACGAGGAATTCTGGAAAGGAGAAGGCCTAGTCTTTTAAACTGTGAGCACTTAATTCAAACACGTCGGCCCTCTGCCTCCTAATCCTAGAAATCATATTCTTGACCTCCTTTTCTGTGCTAGAGCCCCACCATTGAAGCTGGACTAGAAGGCAGACACTCTGTATTCTGCTTTGTAAATTCAGCTTCCTGTGGAAGCCAGGCAGGCAGCATAGGGAGGCAGTGGGCGGTGTAAGAGATATCGAGGAGCAGAGGGACTGACAGACTGCAGTGATGCTCCTGTCAGTCTAAAGGGGGCAGCCTCCGCTCTGCCCGGCCTGTTGAAGTCATGGGCAGCAAGGGCTCTTTGCAGCTGGATCCTCTGATAGCCCAAGAGAAGTCAGAACTGTGTTTTTCCATGATCTCTTCTAGTTTAAAATGTTGGCTACTGTCCAGGTGCCATGGTTTATGCCTATAATCCCAGTGCTTTGGTTGAGCCCAGGAGTTCGAGATTAGCCTCAGCAATATAGTAAGACCCTGTCTCTACAAAGTAAGTTTAAAAATTAGCCAGGTGTGGTGCACGCCTGTAGTCTCAGCTACTCACTCAGGAGGCTGAGGCAAGAGGTTTGCTTGAGCCCAGGTGTTTGGCACCACTGCACTCTAGCCTGGGCAATAGCAATACCCTGTCTCTAAAAAATAAAAATAGCTGGGTGAGTGGGCTCATGCCTGTAATCCCAGTTCTTTGGCTGAGGCCAGCAGATCACTTGAGGTCATGAATTTGAGACCAACCTGGCCAACGCGGTGAAACCCCATTTCTATTAAAAATACAAAAATTTAGCCAGGCATGGTGGTGGATGCCAGCTACTTGGGAGGCTGAAGCAGGAGAATCGCTTAAACCCGGGAAGCGGAGGTTGCAGTGAGCGGAGATCACACCACTGCACTCCAGGCTGGGCGACAGAGTGAGACTCTCAAACAAAAACAAAGCCACTGAAAACAAAGCATGTGTCCGAGTTGCTTGGGACCTTCAACCTTGGTCACAGCCCTTTCTTTTTGTAAATGTAAAGAGAATTCTACTTCTAGCTTGTGAAAAGGAAGGCTTTTGTGACCTGATATGTCCTTCTTCCAATTTCACCCTTTCCCCGGGGGAGAGACAGTTTTGGTGGGTTGGGGTGTTGGCAGCAGAACAGCCCCTTGACTTCTCGCCCAGGCTGCACCTCCAGCGGCTGGTGAGCAGTGAGAGCCAGAGGCGCCTGCTGGTGGGGAAGCTGCAGGCCCTTGTGGAGGAGGCCTTTGGGAGCCAGCTGCAAAACAGGGATGTCCTCAACCCAGTCTACATGGAGAGGATCCTCCTGCTGAGACAGGTTGGTGTCAGGGGTCTGGGAGACTGAGGAAGGGGGTACTGGGTGCCCCAATTCCTCCTCCCTTCCAGAGTTCTATTCCTAGTTCATTCAGACTTCTTGCTTCCCCAGGGTCACATTTGCCGCCTGCAGGACTTGGTGTCCCCAGTGTACTCCTACCTGTGGACTCGCCCTGCGGTGGGTCGAGCGCAGCTGGATGCCATCTCAGAGAAGGTGGATGTGATTGCCAAGCGTGTGCTGGGGTGAGTACCCGTAGGCTGAGCTCTGGGTTCCACAGCCTCCTTCCCTTGCTCCCTCCCACGGCCCCCTTTCTTTCTTCAGGGCTGGGCTGTTGGGCCCCCGGCACAACCCCATGGCTAGTGAAGAAGTAACCCTTCACTGGATTTCATTGGTGAGGAGGGCTTACCCAGAAGACCCAGGCTTTCCATGGACGTAGGCCTGTGTTCACTGCTTTCCCCAACATGGGTTGCATCCCAGCTGTGCCACGTACTCACCAGTTTATGTCACCTTGCTCAGGCAGCTTCCCTTTGGCCAAGTTACTGCACCTATTTGAGCTTCCTTTTCCTTCTTGGTAAGAGAGAGATGATGCTAATTCTTATTGTTAACAGTAATGACTTTCAATTACAAACACAACCAAAGCTGGCTTAGGCAAGAGAGGAATGATTGCTTATGTAACTGCAGAGGCTAGAAGATGGGCTGCCTGAAGCACAGCTTAATGCAGAAGTTGGTACTCCGTTACCAAGATTCACTCTCTCTCTGCCTTTCACCTTCTGCCCCCACTCCTCCATGCGGACCATGCTTCCTGCACACGGACCATGCTTCCCGCAGAAGCTCTGTATTAGGTAACTAGAGGGCAGGTTTCTCTATCAGACAAAAGAAATGACAGCGCATATCCCCTGTGGAATTTCTCCCTTACGTAGCAATCTGCAGGAAGCAGCTCAGGGCTCATCCTCCCACCTCAGCCTCTTTGAGTAACTGGGACTACAGACTGCCACACCAGCTAATTTTTTTATTTTTTTATTTTTTGGAGAGATGAGGTCTTGCCATGTTGCCCAGGCTGGTCTCAAACTCCTAGGCTCAAGTGATCTTCATGCCTCAGCCTCCCAGAGTGCTGGGATTACAAGTGTGAGCCGTGGTGCCTGGCCGGAGCCTATTAGTTATAATTCATCAGGATTCAGTGTCCTAACTGCCCATCTCCACCATGAGGCTGGATTTCAGATTTGCTCTGGGACTCCCTTTTGAGTCAGGAAAGCTGATATACAAATGTTCAGGAGCTGCCAGATCACTAGAAATCCCTTCTGTGCCCATACCAAGGTCTGGGCCAGCTCTAGCGGGTCTGGAACTGCCATTGTTCCTGGCCTGGGGCCTGGGCCCTGTCATTCTTTCATCAGTTCCCCCCTGCAGCCTGCTTCCCCGCAGTGCCATTGGAGAGAGTGTCTGCTTCTTTCGCACATTATATTTTATATATTCAGTATTTCATCTCCTGGATTTTGTAAATAGCAGTACTCACATGACCCAGTTAATAATTGTCTCAGTCCACAGGGTTGCTATAGCAAATAACATAGACTAGGGCTTCAGCAGCAGACGTTTATTTCTCATAGGTCTAGAAGCTAGAAGTCCAGGTCAGGGTGCCGCCAATTCGGTACGTGGTGAGGGCCTTGTTCCTGGGCCCTTCCCTTTTCCAGCTCTTCGCTGTGTCCTCATATGGTGGAGGGATGAGGGACCTCTCTGGGGTGTCTTTTGTAAAGGAACTCATCTGTGTATGAGGGCTCTGCCTGAATGACCTGATCACTTCCCAAAGGCCACACCTCTGAATACTGTCACCTTGGGGGTTGAAATTTCAACATTTAGGGGAACACAAACATTCAGAACATAGAGATGATGCAATAAGAACGATCACCCTTGTCTGAAACTGAAACTCATCTGCTCCAGTGCTGATAGTTAGTAAGGAAATCTGTCTGCACTAAAAGGCTGTTTCTTCAAATCACTATGAACCCAGTTCCCTGAGCCAGAAGTGGTCCATACTGAGTTGACTTTGGAATGCAGTTGCCTGGACTGTGTTTGGGCAGGCAGGGTCAGAATTGGCATCACAGGTCATCTGGACCAGGAAGATGTCCAGCCCAGTTCCTCTTCCGTGTCTTCATTGTGGAATCTCCAGTAATAACTGAGGGTAGGCTGGGCACTGTGGCTCGTTCCTGTAATCTCAGTATTCTGGGAGGGTGAATGGGGAGGAGACCAGCCTGGGTAACATACCTTGACCCCATCGTTACAAAAAGTAAAAATAAAATTAGCTAGGTATGCTGGCAGGCACCTGTGGTCCCAGCTATTGAGAAGGCTAAGGTGGGAGGATCATTTGAGCACAGGAGTTTGAGGCTGCAGTGAACTATGATCATACTACTGCAATTCAGCTTGGGTGACAGAGCAAGACCCTGTCTCTCAAAATAATAATAGTAATTATTATTATTTTTAAAAACTTAGAGGAACTTGGAAGTTGCAGTGAAATACACTCAACCCCGTCCTATTCTCATCTCTTGACTTTAACTCAGAATCAGGGCTGGGGCAAATTTGTTGCAAGTCCAGCTCTAACTGAATAGAGAATTTCCCCTGAAACTAAAGCTTTTGCAGAGAGGATCTTGCTCTGCTGGACTGCCAGGATGTGGGGGATGGTTGCTGGCCCCTTTGAATTTAGATGCTAGGGTGTTTCAATTTGTGGAAGAAGGGTTGTAGCAAGTTGGTGGTGGGGCCATTGCTGGAGCTGGGTGGGGCCTTCTGATTTCTTCTGTTCTCAGCTATATCTCCAAAGAAGTCTCCCTCTACAAATCTCAAAGCTATATTTCAGATAATTTCCCAGAGATTATCCATTATTCTATGTCACATCTATTCCTAAGTTTCTTTTTTGTTGTTCTTCCTGCAAGCAGACCTAAGTTTCTTTTTAGCTCCTTTTGTAATATCTCAAAGCTCATGAATGTACTTAAGGTAACTAATTTTTTAAAACTTTAAATTCAAATATAAAATGTAATACTTGGCCGGATGCATTGGCTCACGTCTGTAATCACAGCACTTTGGGAGGCCAAGGCGGGCAGATCACCTGAGGTCAGGAGTTCAAGACCAGCCTAACCAACATGGTGAAACCCCATCTCTACTAAAAATACAAAAATACTAGCCACAGGAAGTGGCACATGCTTGTAATCCCAGCTACTTGAAAGGATGAGGCAGGAGAATCACTTGAACCCAGGAGGTAGAGGTTTCAGTGAGCCGAGATTGTGCCATTGCACTGCAGCCTGGGCAACAGAGTGAGACTCCATCTCAAAAAAAAGATGTAGTACTTCTGAGTATTTATCATGTGTTCAGGCACTTGGTGCTTTATAAGTTTTAACTCTTTATGATAGCCCTGGGGAGGACAGATACTATTATTTATTTATTTATTTATTTATTTATTTTTTGAGACGGAGTTTCGCTCTTGTTACCCAGGCTGGAGTGCAATGGCGCAATCTCGGCTCACCGCAACCTCCGCCTCCTGGGTTCAGGCAATTCTCCTGCCTCAGCCTCCTGAGTAGCTGGGATTACAGGCACACGCCACCATGCCCAGCTGAATTTTTGTATTTTTAGTAGAGACGGGGTTTCACCATGTTGACCAGGATGGTCTCGATCTCTTGACCTCGTGATCCACCCGCCTCAGCCTCCCAAAGTGTTGGGATTACAGGCGTGAGCCACCGCGCCCGGTGATACTATTATTTATTGATGGATTTTGAGACAAAGTCCCACTCCGTCGCCCACGCTGGAGTGCAGTGGCACGATCTCAGCTCACAGCAACCTCCACCTCTTGGGTTCAAGCAATTCTACTGCCACAACCTCCTGAGTAGCTGGGACTACAGGCGCCCACCACCACCCCTGGCTAATATTTTTGTATTTTTAGTAGAAATGGGGTTTCACCATGTTGGCCAAGTTGGTCTCAAACTCCTAACCTTAAGTGATCTGCCCATCTCAGCCTTTAAACGTGCTGGGATTACAGGTGTGAGCCACTGCTCCCGGCCTCAGATACTATTATTCTCCCCACTTTACAGATGAGAAAACTGAGGCATAGAGCTTACATGACACAGAGGTAGCAATAAGTAAAGCCTCTTATGGCACCTCTTACCCCCCTGCATTGTGCCCGCTGGCTTCTCTGTGCGTGGTCCCTTGGTAGTTATTTCTTCCTGACCTGGATAAGGAAGCGAGTGGTCGATATCTTCCTCACCTCCCTCAAAACAGGCCTGAACACTGATTGTGCTGCTTGTACTGTAGCTGATCAATAACCTTCTTAAGCCCTCCCTCCCACCCACTTGCCATTGGCCCATGCAGGTCCTGTAGACTGGCCCTCTTCTTCCAGGCTTCTAGAAAGATCTGGTGTGACCTTAACTCAGGATGCGCTGAGTGGAGAACTAAAGAAGCTTTCAGAAGGTCTGGAAGGCACCAAGCACAGTAATGTGATGAAACTCCTCCGGGTGGCCCTCAGTGGACAGCAGGTGAGGCAGGGACATGGGTTGGATTGTTCCCTGGAGCCCCTCATTGATCTTTTCAACTTACATTTCCTAGCAGGCATCGAGCTCAATGTTGGGGATACAAAGATGAATGAAACATGATCACCCCCCTCATTCAGTCAATCAGCAGACACTATTTACTACCTACTATGTGCAAGCATTGTGTTAGGTACAGTAGATACAGTATAGAATGACACACATACATAATCTCTGTCTCCATGAGGTTTGCAGTTTATTGGAGATAACAGACCTAGCAACAGCTTACTTAATATGGGAAAAACAGGCCGGGCATGGTGGCTCATACCTGCAATTCCATCACTTTGAGAGGCCTAGGCAGGCAGATTGCCTGAGGTCAGGAGCTTCAGACCAGTCTGGGCAACTTGGTGAAACCTTATCTCTACTAAAAATACAAAAATTAGCCAGGTGTGGTGGTGCACGCCTGTAATCTCAGCTACTTGGGTGGGTGAGGCACGGGAATCACCTTAATGGCAGACGGAGGTTGCATTGAGCTGAGATCGCACCACTGCACTCCAACCTGGCAACAGAGCGAGACTTCATCTTTAAAAAAAAAAGATGGGGGGTGTAGGGGAAGAAACAGGCTCCTGGGACCCATCGTTGTCCAGGGAACCAACACAAGTGCTGATCCTCGGAAGACAGGCAGCGGTGTGGGGGCTGGCCCGGGAATAATTTCTGCAGACTGAGGCTGAGCTTCAGTTCTTTAGGCGATATTTGCTCTTTTTGTTCTTAGCAAGGACCTCCCATAGCTGAGATGATGGTGTCTTTGGGACCAAAAGAAGTGCGGGAACGAATCCAGGAGGCGCTTTCCAGCTAGGGAGAGGATGTGTCTGGCAGTGGAGATTGCCCTAAGAACCTGTGACCTTAGAAACAGCCTTCAGAGACCAAAAGGAGACCTGGGGCCCATCAGGAAGTTCGCCAAAGGAACTGAGAGTGAAAACAATCTATGACTGCATACAAGTGCATTTATGACTCCACCACAGGCCGGTCCTTGCCAGTTGGCTGGGGAAGCCCAACCCATCTCCTCCTTGACTCTGGAAAGGCATTCTCCATGACTCGTTTTTCACACATTACACAGAGGAGGTTAGGAGTTAGTTCACGGAAAAGCTAACATCCCGGAACAGTGCAGAAGGCTTGGGTTTCAGTTTGCTAGGGCCACCATAACAAAATACCACAGAACCAGTTGGTTTAAACAACAGAGATTTATTTTCTCACATTTCTGGAGGCTAGAAATTCAAGATCAAGGTGTCAGCAGGCCTGGTTTTTCCCGAGGCCTCTCTTGGCTTGCAGACAGCTGTCTTCTTACTGTGTCCCTATGCGGTCTTCCCTCCATGCACGCACATGTCTGGTTTCATTATGTGCCCAACGTTCCTCTTCTAGGAGCACCAGTCAGACTGGATTAGGGCCCACTCCACCCTGCCAGCCTCATTTTAACTTAATCTCCTCATTAAATGCTCAGTTTCCAAGTGCAGTCTCATTCTGAGGTGCTGGGGGTTTCTCATTGTAAGAATTTAGGGGGACAAAATTCAGCCCGTAGCAGCTGGGCAGCAGGACTCATGGGTCCCAGTTCTCAGGCCCCAAGGACCAGAACAGTGAAGGATATGTGACACAAGCAGGGCTGAACTGGACACCAGGCTTTCTTTGGGGTTGTAAAGGGAGAAGTGACCTCCACTGCCAAGGGTAAGTGCTCTTGTCTTATGCTACCCTTTATTCTTGAACCTTGGGGCAGCCTGTGTCTCCCTTCCCTAAATGTCATCTGTTCCTGTTTTCTAGTCCTCCAGACCTGGTCCTTGGACTGGAGACCTCCACCCTGCCTATTTATTTTGTGGCTTTCGCTTCAAATCCATCTCTTCCTTCCTCCATGACTTGTAAGTCATCATCTCTGCTGGTTTCTGAAATGAGATAACGCTTCTTGGGATCTTCAGTGAAGAGGAATAGCAAAAGTGGCAGCAAGATGGTGGCAGGGTACACAAACGCCTACGAGGCTTCTAGGCTTCCCCTGCATGGCAGCCAGCCTCTAAGATGGCCCCCAACCATCCCTTCTTTCTACTGTTCACACCCTTGTGTGGTTTCTTCTCACACTGAATAGGCCTGACTTGTGTAACCATTATGCTATTGAAGAAATGAGAGTTTGACTTCTGAGGGTAAGTCGTAAAATAAATCATGGCTTCTGTTTTGTTCTCTTGGATCACTTACTTTGGGGGAAGCCAGCTTCCAGGTCTTGAAGATACTCAAGCAGCCTTATGGAGTGCTCCATGTGACAAGGGATCGAGGCCTCCCAACAACAGCCACGGGAGTGTGCCATCCTGGAAGCTGGTCCTCTATTTCCAGCCAGGCATTCACATGACTGCAGTCCTGGCTGATCTTGACTGTGACCTCTATAGGAGACCCTAAGCCAGAACCACACAGAGAAGCTGCTCTGGAATTTCAGACACACATGAACTGTGAGATAGTAAATGTTTATACCTGGTTTGGGGATAATTTGCTCTCTGGCAGTATACAATATATTTCTTTTGTCCAGGGAAGTAGAGAGAGGCGATCACAGAGTTCGTTGAGCCCCATAGAGTCCTAGTCTTTGCTTAAAGAATATACCCAGCCAGACGCGATGGCTTACACCTGTAGTCCCAGCACTCGGGGAGGCGGAGGCAGACGGATCACAAGGTCAGGAGTTCAGGACCAGCCTGACCAACATGGTGAAACCCTGTCTCTGTTAAAAATACAAAAAAGTTAGCTGGGTGTGGTGGCATGTGCCTGTAACCCCAGCTACTCAGGGGGCTGAGGCAGGAGAATTGCTTGAACCCAGGAGGCGGAGGTTGTGGTGAGCCAAGATCACACCACTGTACTCCAGCCTGGGTGACTGAGCAAGACTCGGTCTCAGAAAAATAAAACAAGAATATACCAGTTCTTTCCAGTACAGAATCCATTAAGTTCGTTGGTTACAAGCAATAGAAACCAATTTTGCCTCACTTAATGTTTATTGGAAGCAATAGGAGAACCACAGCATCTACAAAAAAGCCAAAAAACCAGGTCTTGGAAAAAACAGAAACTGGCTACAGGAGCTAAGGGCCAGTCTTGTCCGAGTTCAAGACACATGTCCAGGACACATGAACTACACTGTTTTGTTGTTAATTTCTCTGTGTTTTCCTCTCAGTTCTGGATGGCTCTGCTCAAGGTTCAGATTCTGAGGAGCGAGTATGTTTTGGGCTAACTGAGATCTTGCTGCTGTTCCTTGGCCAGAAATAGGTAGTCCCACAGCGATTATATGCAATGGAGGCAAAGTTGTTCCCAAGGAAAACTAGGGAGCTTTTTCCAGAAGAAGATGTAATGGCAGAAACAACAGGTGGTTGACCACAGAAGGGGACAATAACAACAGTATTTGTGATTTATTATGCACTTGCATGAGGCTCACCCCCTCCCAAGTGTCAGATAATGCTGGTAAATGCCTAGTCCATCATCTCAGTAATTTTTTGTCATAATCCTGTGAGAGAAGCAGTATTTTTTTTTCAGTTACAGATATGAAAACTGAGGCTCTGAAAAGTTAAGTAAAGCTTCCTAGGTTGGCTGGGTGCGGTGGCTCACACCTGTAATCCAGCACTTTGGGAGGCCGAGGCAGGTGGATCACAAGGTCAGGAGTTTGAGACCAGCCTGGCTAACATGGTGAAAACCTGTCTCTACTAAAAATACAAAAAATTAGCCAGGCATGGTGGCATGCACCTGTAATCCCAGTTACTCAGGAGGCTGAGACAAGAGAAGTGCTTGAACCCAGGAGGTGGAGGTTGCAGTGAGCAGAGATCATGCCCCTGCACTCCTGTCTGGGTGACAGAACAAGACTCTGTCTCAAAAAAAAAAAAAAAAAAAAAAAGTTACCAGGAGTTCCTTGGCTCATGATCAAGAATGTGAGTGTTTTTAACAATGTGAGTGGTCAAAATGCTAAGTGGATTCTGATGTATCTACAACATGGATGAACCTCTCGGAGTTGATGCTAAATGAAATGTTAGTCACAAAAGGACAAATACTTCCTAACACTTTGTGAGGCCAAGGTGGGAGGGTTGCCAAAGGCTAGGAGTTTTGAGAGCAGCCTGGGCAACATAGCAAGACCCTGTTTCTACAAAAATAAAAGTTTTTGTAGTCACCAGGTAAGGTGACATATGCCTGTAGTCCCAGCTGCTTGGGAGACTAACGTAGGAAGATCACTTGAGCTAAGGCATTAAGGCTGCAGTGAACTATGAATGCACCACTGTACTCTAGCCTGGACAACAGAGCAAAACCCTGTGCCTAAAAACAATGAATAAATAAAAGGATAAATACTATAAGATTTTATTCCAGGCTGGGTGCGGTGGCTCACACCTGTAATCCTCCCACTTTGGGAGGCCAAGGCGGGCGGATGACTAGGTCAGGAGATCAAGACCATCCTGGGCAACATGGTAAAACCCCATCTCTACTAAAAATACAAAAATTAACTGGGCGTGGTGGCGCGTGTCTGTAATCTCAGCTACTCCGGAGGCTGAGGCTGAGGCAGGAGAATTGCTTGAGCCAGGGAGTCAGAGTTTGCAGTGAGCCGAGATCATGCCATTTATACTCCAGCCTGGTGACAGAGTAAGACTCCGTCTTAAAAATTTTTTTTTTTACTTATTTGAAGTACGTGAAATAATCAGAATTATAGAGGCAGAAGGTACAATGGTGGTTGTCGGGCTTGGGGCGGCAGAAATGGGAAGTTACTGTTTAGGGTATAGAGTTTCAGTTTTACAAGACGAAAAGTTACGGGGGGGTTCTACGGTGGTGATAACTGCACAACATTGTAAAGATATTTAATGCCACTGAACTGTACACTTAAAAATGACTGAGATGGTAAATTTTTATGTTTTCTGTATTTTACCACATTTTTAAAAAAATGGTAAATTAGAGTTGGGTGCGGTGGCTCACACCTGTAATCTCAATACTTTGGGAGGCCAAGGCAGGTGGATCACTTGAGGCCGGAAGTTCTAGACCAGCCTGGCCAACATGGTGAAACCTCATCTCTACTAAAAAGTATAAAAATTAGCCAGGTGTGGTGGCACTTGCCTGTAATCCCAGCCACTTGGGTGGCTGAGGCACGAGAATCACTTTAACTCCCATTGTATTCCAGCCTAGGGAACAGAGCAAGACCCTGTCTCAAAAAGAAAAGTGAAATTAATAAAGCTGCTCTTTCCTCAAGTTGAATGTGCTGTGCTGTCTGGAAAGCAGCTCCAGATGTCTGTCTTCTGTTTGGGGGTTTTGCTCAGGATCAGTAGGATTGGTTTATTGTTTTTGTTTTTTTTTTTAAGAGAGAGGGTGTTGCTCTGTTACCCACACTGGAGTGCAGTGGCACAATTATAGCTCACTGCAGCTTGAACTCCTGGGCTCAAGTGATCCTCCCATCTCAGACTCCTGAGTAGCTGGTATCACAGGTACATGCCACCACACCTGTCTAAGTAAAAGTGTTTGAAGGAATTTCACACGTTTCACCATGTTGTCCAGTTTGGTCTTGAACTCCTGACCTCGTGATCCGCCCACCTCAGCCTCCCAAAATGCTGGGATTACAGGCATGAGCCACCATGCCCAGCCTTCACATATTTTAAATAACCTCAAGCCCATCCCCAGTGTTTTGAGAGTATAGTGCACCAGTGAAGGGCACAGAGGCTGACTGTGTAGATTCAGAAACATTCTGCTCCTTATTCTCTTGTTACTTTTCTGTATCTCAGTTTCCTTGTTTGCAAAACAGGGATAAGAATTTTACCTGTCTCGCCAGGGAAATAAAGAATTTTACCTGTCCCAGTTACTCGGGAGGCTGAGGAAGGAGAATTGCTTGAACCTGGGAGATGGAGCTTGCAGTGAGCTGAGATTGCACCACTGCACTCCAGCCTGGCGACAGAGCGCGGCTCTGTCTCAAAGAAAAAAAAAAATAGAATTTTACCTGTCTCAAAGAGTTCTAAGGATTGGAACACATAATATGTATGAAGTTCTTATTTTATTTTATTTTAAGACGGGGTTTCACCGTGTTGGTCAGGCTGGTCTTGACTCCCCACCTCAGGTGATCCGCCCGCCTTAGCCTCCAAAGTGCTTGGATTACAGGCGTGAGCTACCACGCCCGCCCTCTGTCTCAAAGAAAAAAAAAAAAGAGAGATAGGAGAGAGATAGGGGAGAGAGTGGGAGAGGGAGAGAGAGAGGGAGAGGGAGGGAGGGAGGGACTCTAAAAACTGATGCTTTTTATTTATAAATGTTAGTGGTTCTGTCCAGCCCACCATTACTAGACTGCCCTATAAGTCCCCTCAGTAAACCTCCTGCCTCATTCAGTGGCTCTGGATCTCTTCCGCCTTTCAAACTTGGTACCATCCCTACTGAAGTTAATAAGGGTAGGTACAACAGCATCAATGGAAAATTATGCATAGTCTAGACAGCACAACCTTTGAGGTTCTAGCCCTTCTTTGTCTTTGAGAAGTCATAATTCTGTTAAGTTGCAGATAGCTGATAGTAATGCAAAATCATTCTTGCCTATAAATAGCTAAGTTAATTCTGCCCACCAAAGGGACAGCTCTCACCCAGGTGGAAAAGCCCATTTTGCATCCATTTGCACATTCCTCTTACGTTCCTTTTTTTCCAGATAAATTGGCCCTTCATTGACTTCACTTTTGGATTGATTATGACATCTGCTTGGTTCCCTCATGTAATTAAATAAAATATTTAACACGTGTTCATTTCATAATTTTGAGAATCATGACATACTTTTTTGGGAAAATTATCTCTTAACAAAATAAGTAAATAATACAACGATGGTAAACTGTGTGATGCAGAAAATAAAGCAGAGTACTAAGCAATGCAGGACATGTTATTTTATAAGTGTTCCAGGAAAACCCTTCTGAGAGCAAGAATGCAAGCACATAGGCCAGGCACGGTGGTTCATGCTTGTAATCCCAGCACTTTGGGAGGATGAGGCAGGTGGATCACGAGGTCAGGAGTTCAAGACCAGCCTGGCCAACATAGTGAAACCTCATCTCTACTAAAAATACAAAAAAATTAGCTGGGTGTGTTGCCATACGCCAGTAATTCCAGTTACTTTGGAGGCTGAGGCAGGAGGATTGCTTGAACCTGAGAGGTGGACGTTGCAGTGAGCTGTGATCGTGATATTGCACTCCAGCCCAGGCGACAGAGGGAGAC